GCTAGCCTGGAAAGCCACCAAATAACACTGCACAAGGACACAATAAACTTCAATGCACATCTAAATTTTATTGCATTAAGTTAAGCAGCAACTGAAAATGAAGAGAGCTTTGCACTTTTCAGTATTTTATAGATGGAAGAAAACCAGAAAGATAATCAGATAATCTTTTTAAGAACTCAGCTTCAATACCTGAGCCAACAAATTATTCCTACATGAAATGATCTTAACCCCTGAGTCTTCAAACACCTTTATAAAACAGGCTTTTAAAACCCATTTTTAATCTGGGACTTGACATCAAAGCTAAGTTTGAACGTTTATCAGCATGCAAATTGAGATGATATGCCTGGTGATTAGTGCTTTCCAAAGCTTTGGTTTGTTGCTCAATGAACAAAAGCACCTGCTAAAATGGCATATAAATCTCTCCTTGCATCACTGAGAAGCTTTCCACCCCTAATGCCTCCCTCTTACTGTTCTGTTCTCTGTAAAAACATTCATTGTAATCAACATAATGAAATCTTTGCAATGCATAGCAGAGCAGTAAGTAGCAATGTCTCTACCATCACAACACTAACCTTTAAGCAGTGGAGAGTATCGTTTTTGGAGAACATCTTAAACTTGGTAAGCTCACCAATGAATCTCACAGTTTTATTCTTTGTTTCAATGTTGATCTGGTCCTTTTTTCTTACCTAGGGAAAAAAAGCATTAGAACTTAGGCTCTTAAAAATACCTACCTCTTAGACATTACTTCAACCCAAATGTGTGTCATAAGCTTAGGAATTCGGCAATGTTTGCTATTTGTTTAGTTCCTTATGCTGTACCTTTAGCTACCATCAGGTTTCCTGAAAGTCTCTCTACAACCTTGTTTCTAACAGAAGCTTTCCAATTTCTTTCCCCATCCCTCCACAAACCACCCACCACACATCAACCCGGCCAACCCCCTTTACCACGCTGAAGTAGTGGTTATGTACTATAGATTCTACATTTTTAGAATCATTAAGTAGTCGCTAAATGAATAGGACCACCTAGTCCCTAAGGAAATATTAAACATTGACAGCTTTTTCAAGTCAGGTTTAATAAAGCCCAGACTTCCCCACAACTCCCCTTTTCTTTTTTTTCCTTTTAAAATTACTGATATCCAGTATTATTTTACTAACAAAGCACAAATCTGTATCTACATCTAAACATAACCCACAAAATACAAACCTGTATTTCTCCCCAGCAGAAATAGCTTTTCCTGAGTAAAAACAGTTACCTTCAGATAGTTAGACTTAAGTCGTTAAGTAAGCAATTCATACACATTTTGAATGTCAATATTAGAAAGAAAATCACAACAGTGATGATTCCTTCACTGGTTTCCAAGTTTTATGCCGTATTTTTATGCCATATAAAACTTGGAAACCAGTGAAGGAATCATCACTGTGCACCATAACCAATTTGATTCATAAACATAGAACTAAGTGAAAGAAACAACCCTGAAAAATACATTTGTGAGGAAAATTTTGGTTGATAAGAACTGTAAAAAATAACTGAATTAAGCACTACATTACAATAGTAAGCACTAGATTACAACAGTAACCTTGTAGCAGGGAAAGTGTTGTTCGAATAGGTCAGTTCTCATTTTAAGGGCAAGTTACTAATTCACAGAACAGAAGACTCCTTAACACAGTTTGGAGCACAGTTTAATCTTTGCTATTTGTTTTAGCTGTTGTACAGCTCATTTTAATAAATATATACAAACATATATGGTAAGTTGTAAACCAATTTTGTGTTTAAATATATAAATCTAGTATTTGAGAACAAATTCACTCAGATGATAGAAAAATATTCACTGAATTTCAGAACTAGCACCTCCATAATATCAAATGTTATTTATTCCCCAAAGGATGACTGTTGCTAGATTGCTTAATTTGAATGCAGACCACTAAATCAGCAAAACATACATGAAATCTGAAATCCCCTTTCAGCATGGAACAAAGATCCTCTGCTACATCAGACATACAGGGATGCAATGTGGCAACCAGCCTTGCGTAAAACGGTAGCAAATCCAACCTGCAACAGAGGAGATTATAAGAATAGACAAGTAATTCATAGACAAAAATGTGTTTATGTCTGTAAGTATGGTTACACTTTTACTTGTGAAAGGAATGAATGGGCATATACCAACAGAACTACTACTACATGCAATTTTCTGGGCTCACACTTCCAACTGCAGTATCATTCGAAAACAGCAATACAAGGAGGTACGTTACCCCATCCTATTGGAATCCTTCACAGCTCATTTGCTTTCAAAACTACTGCCTCGGGTGAAATGCTAAACACCATCTCAGCTATGGAATTTGACCTTTAAGAAATTACCAGAAACAAACAGAATCCTGATCCCTCACAATAAGGAAAATGAAGAATTCTTTACAGACAACTCCATTTGCTACTGCTTTTAGTTCTCTTCTCTGAGTCTCAGCAGACGTAACCAGGAAGGTAAGAACATCTTTATTTTTAAAGCAGTGAACTTCTAAGGGAATGTAGTGCTTATTCATAAACCAAAGGTCAGCAGATGTGTTGTGGCAACCCTTTTCCCCAAACCTCAGCTGGTATTCCCACAAACTGCAATCTCTCAAAGTTTTCTATAGAACTTCCCTTATTTTCTTTCTCCCTTGCTTGATTACGTGCCTTCATACCCATTCCACAGTATCACGTTTCCCTTAGGGAATTTTGGAGGGCAATTAGTGTTCTCCTTAGATTAGACTTTGTTTCGTTCCATCAGAGACTATCTGGTTGTAGAAATGGGACAAATGCCCTTAAACCTGGTTTAAGGACACAGAATATAACAAAACTGCTTTGCATAAATGTGCAGGTATCACTTTCAAATGCAGAGAAACCAAATGCACTCTGAGGCCTCATAATGTCATTTAACAAATTGAAGAAGGTATTTTTGGTTTACTTTCAGAACATATGTAAATGCTGTAAACAGATGAAGCACAGAACAAGTTTTAAGCAGAGAAAAATATCTCAAATTTGCATGCTACAAGTGAGAAATTGCCTGTATGGGGAAAAATGGATCTTGAATTTACACTTTATGAAGGATTAAGGTTTTCCTTACTGCTAGGGAGAAGAAAATAAGAATAAAGGAAAAGAAGAAATCTAAAAGCACAGATTTTAGCTTCACATAGATCTTGCTCTGGCACAAAGTAAAACCAGAAAATCAAGTCAAAACCAAAGCATACAGAACTGCCTCACCTCTCCTTTCTACAGCTATGTTACTAGAGCAGATTTCCAAGGTCTTTAATACCCACTCACAGCAAGAGGGCTAATTATGTATTTAATTTGTGGATCAGAAGCATCAGAATATACTGCCTGAAAGAGGCACAGCTAAGCAGCCTCCTCATAATCCCTAAAACTCCTGGTGAAACATTACAGGTACCCCAGTTACCTATTTAACAGTTTTCATTCTCTCTTGTTAATCGATAACTGAAGCAGTATTTACATTTTTCAAGCCTGTTGGAACACACAACAAGTCAAGGGTGACTAGCCACAGCAAATTACTATGATGTTATTAAGCATTTAGCCATTAACTCTCAGAGAAGAAGTGAAAGTCTCATTATTTCACACACACACAAACAAAAGCTAAACTAGAGAAAGGACTTGGGCTGAATTGAGGGGCTTTCTGCATGGCACTTCTTTTAAGACAAGTAGCAGAAAGCTTATGCTGAACAAGTACCTGCTTGCTGAGAGCTAATAATTTCATCTCTGTAAACTGAACATACCCAGGGGGAAATTAAAGTCTTAGAGCACATTGTTGTTATTCCCTCACACAACACAAAAGGTTTCTTCATGAGGATGAATACTAAGATTGAGTGTTTTGAAATAGGTGAAATATAATAAGGAAAAGCCTTGGGTGAATTACTGTGAAATTGGCAATTGGAGATGGAATCCGCTCCCTCTCACAGGGGAGACAAAAATTCCTGTTCAGAAATGGAGAGATTGCAGTACCAGTGGCACCATCTACTGGTACCTGCATTACGGCTAATCCATGTTTTCTGCTTTCTCCAAAAGCATTTCTTTTTTTTGGGAAGTGGGGCAGAAATTAACTAAGATGATCACAAAACCCATGGTGTTGTTTTCTCTTCCTGCTCTTCTACGTTATGAAGCAAGACCTAGCATCAGTAAACTATCACAGTAAAAGAACATTACTTCTGACCATTGCCATTTTGGCCACATACCTTGGGTTGTAATCCAGTCAACTCTGGATCACATAGACTGCACTTCAGTGAAATATTGAAGAGCACATCTTTTAAAACCCAAACCCCAAAACTTTGCTCAGTGAAAGTCCTAACTGCAAACTGTCTAGAATGGGTGCACCCAAAATTTTATACCTAGGAGTGAAGGGGGCATCTTGGACATTTATTAACTGGGATTCTACCAGAAAGACAGCTTAAAGAATGAGGCAACAGAGCAAGAACTCCTGCCTCACGAGCAAATCCAAATCCAGATAAATGCAGTGTATTCTCTGGGCCTGAACAGGTACAAAGTGCCACCCACACTGCTCAGTAAGAATGATGCTGTGCAAGTGGCATGTTATCAGATAAGCACTTTTTGCTTTTGTTTCTTAGCTGTGGCATAAACTCCTTGATCTCAAGCACATCTCTTAATTTTATCACTGAATGAGACAGGCCATTGAAACACTGATAAGTCAAGTTCAGTTGAACAAAAAGGACCTTGCTATGGAGGATTCTCAGGGTAGAGAGCTGAAAGAAAGCAGATACAGAGAAGTTTTACAGCTTCTGAGTTAAAATGCTCAGAATTATTTAACACTCAACAAGCAGCCAACTTCTGAATTAAGAACAACCAACGATAATGCTAAAAAACTCTGCATGATGCACAACAGATCTCTTGCTAAATCAAAGTGCAACTTCACCGTGGATGGGGATGGCAAAAAACATCAGAAGCCACAACAGCTCCTATCTGCTGTTTAGCATTTGTCTAGAATTGCTTAGAATTTAAGGCCTAAAAAAAAGAGATTTTAAACTGCTCATACTGAAGTTGAAAAATTCAGCAAGATTGCAGTATGCAGCTAAATAGATGTATGTGTATCTGTACAGGAAGATAATGCAGTTAGATAGGAAAGAAAGCAGTGAGCAGTACGTGTTAAATCACTGCACTGTCACTTTAGTGCAAACTACATAGTCCTGAATTAAAAGGCTAATGTTTAGTTTTAAACCAATTTTCCCCTGCAAACCTGAAAGCCACTTGTATGCTAGCAGTGAAAAAAAATATCTTTTTAACAGGCTTTCTGTTCTGTTGAGCTGGAGGTTCAGATCACAGATGAAGATGTAAATGCAATCCATTCATGGTGTTCAGCAGAGCAGTGCAGTGATGTATTCTAACACTAATCCACAGTTAGTTGAGGGGAAAAAACCATCATTTGTCAAATTCAGTTTTCTGTCTCTGTATTTGTCCCAGTCAATCCAACTCTAGTGGGAGAAAGAAACTCCCCAGCAATACTGCATGATGATTTTGACTTTACAGTGTCTGCATCACTCCTCAAGCACGAAACCAGTTTCGTGCTTTCTCGGTAAAATTGTTGTGCCTACACACTTCCTAAAACTTTTCTCTCGGGAGAAGAAACAGAACTTATTCTGTTATTGAAATACTTTATTTCGGCTGGTAACATAATAGCTAGACTTCAATACCATTATCTGATATGCTTGGAGACTAAATGCTTTTGGAAAACATACTGCTTTATCCACATCCTACAAGGACACTGTTCCTCTGAACCTTTCAGAAAAGAACGCCCAAAAAACCTCCTAAAGAACATAACCACAAAAAGCTTTCTTCTCCCATGGTATCCTGGAGAGAGACTGCAAAAACTGCTGGAATTTATAGTAAAAACTCGGATGCAACAACAACAATGGAAGGTAAAGGCATGTCATTATGGCTCAGTGAAGAGATACACAAAGCAAAACCATTGTTAATGCAGAGAATACAAAGCTTAGAAGCAGTGTTTTATAATTGTCTGAATCAATTTGTAGCATTTTATAGCAACCATTAGTACCATGTGCCATACACACACCTGGAGTTTTTCCTGCAAGGATTATAAATGGTGATTTCAAGACAGAAAGCAGAACTGCTCCTTTACCAAGTGCAGGAATAAAGCTAATGCAAATATGAGGATAGACTGCCCTTTAAAATCATGTGCATCTATGGGCAATTCAGCTGGTACTTCCAACTGCAACTGTTTGTGGCTCAGAACAAGAAGCTCAGTCAACATCCTGATTCTCCTGCTTAGTAGCCCAGAGATGGGCATCGCTACTGCAGACAAAAGAACAGGCAAATACATACAACTGAACTTAAGATCTTACACCTGGAAGCTGGAGTATTTACTAGTCCAGTAGGTCTCAGAGCAGAGAGCAGAAAAAGATATTAAAAATAGAATTGTGCATGAAATATCAATACTTCTTAATAGTAAGAATTAATATTTAGAAGAACAATCATGAGTAATCAGCTGAGCCATTCATTTCAGTATTAGTTCTAATCATTAGAGAACAGAACTGTCATGAAGACAGTAGCTCCTTGAGCCAACCACACCATCTATTCTAGTCTGAGTTCCTACATAAAAACTGTACTAAATGGTTATTCTTTTTAAAACAAATTTGTAGGATAATGGAACTACCATTGGGAAGACAATAAATCAATGGCAATGTTAAGATTATACATGTTCCTAATACAGCCTGATCGAAGATACATCTTTTTTTTACTACTAAAAAACCCTGGGAATTTAACTTCTGCTTTCGTGGTATCTGTGCAACTACACTGCTGAATTTACAAGCCATCATGTTGTTGTTCTTTGAAAGTATCTCTTTTGCTGTGCACAATGTCAACAAGTTCCTTCAGGCCGTTACCATATAGCCCACTTCAGTGGATTATGCAAAGAAAATCATGCATCTTCAAAGAGGTTCCAAGAGTTTATGATCAATTTGAGCAATCTCGAATCTACACCACCAAGAAGAAATACAGAGCAGTGGTACAAATATTACTGTATGTTCACAGAGCAACCAACAAGCCACTTCTATTTTGCAAAAGGGAAATCCATGGAAAACTCTCTATTATGGTAAAGATGGAGACTAAAGTCTAAGTCATCTGCTGATCTACATTGCTGTAGATGTTCTAGCCTATGAAAAATGTTCTTAAACTGTGTTTTGATGCATTTCACGATTAACATTTCTATTTATCAGCCTGATGGTATTTCCTCTATATCATAAGATTGGGCTAAAGAGCACCTTGTTAGACGTAACACAGAAGATACTCAACTGCCCGTCTCCTCTGTCAGTTATTCGTATTTCAGGCACAATCAGGCCTCTGTCAAAGTCTCCAAAGATTGAGGTGTCAAACCCATAATTTTTTAGAGAAAAGAATACATAAAGAGAAAGATTATGTGCACTTCTAGTTGCAAAAGCTAGTATCAATGTAGAGTCAGGTTAATGCATACAGTCAGCAAACAAACCACTGTTTATACCCAGCAGAGACAGTAAGGTTACTAGCACAGTAGATGCTTATTACACATGGGACATAGAAATAAGCTAGATTTAAGGTTGAAAACATGGTGCAAGAAGTGATTAAAAGTAATGAAAACAAAACACCAGAGCCTGTTTATTCAAAGCAGTCTACACAAGCCTTGAGAGCAGACACTCTAAGCATGTTTCCCCCCCACTGTTAAAAGGAATGGAATCAAAATGGTGTGAACTCTTAATAGGAAATCCAAGGTGATGATGAAACACTGAAACTAAAAGCAGCATCAAAACAACCTCTCAGGAGAAACAGGGCAAGGTGGAGCAAGAAAAGCGACTCCCTCATAATTGCACCTATTTAAATTGTGTCTCTTTAAGGTACAAGTTTACCAGAAAGGAAAGAAATATATTATTCTTCCCATGAATTTGAAAGGTTTATTTTAATATCTGCACTCATTTTGGTAAGCAAAGCTCTTTTTCTAAGTGTAGGGTCCTCACACAAAGAGAAGCAAGGAGAAATAGCAAAACTCTACATGGACAGACCTACGTGGACACAAGAGGACAGGCTATAGGTGTTACACTTGCCTTCTCTAAACTAGCTGGCCTAAAACCAGCTCTGCTCCAGAAGATACAAGATACATATTCTAGAGGATACACATTATAACAGCTATGAACTACATCAGAATAAACATATCACAAGAAATCCTCCTTCCTGAACCACATTTTGCTCTAACTATTCACAGGCTCTTACGCAAAAGAAGTGCAAGTTCTCTTGAACAAAATACATCCTCCTTCTTTGCGACAAGGTAAGTTTTGCTGCTGTTTTCAAGTGTTTCTAGAAGTGCACCTCAGAAATGAACAAATGCAACCTGGAATATACACTGGTCTTCAGTAACTTATACAGTTACAAACCACATACATATATTAAATAACCCAAGGGTGGATCCATCTTGTTCTCCTTCAGTTCTTACCTTTGCCTAGGAACTATGAAAAGTGCTCGTACGAGTTTTCTTCTGTTGGCTTTTGTATTCATATTCATGCAAAAATCCATTGCTGCCTGTAAAGAGGAAAGTCAGTGGAATACTTCACCTTTCATGCAGTGGGGGTTTATTTAAAGCAATATAGCATGCTTTTCAAAAGCATCTTTTACAGAGCTATTCCTGTCACATGCAGCTGTTTTATTAACAGCTATAAACAAAAACTTTCACTTTTGTCTAGAACTGGCATAGCTACAAAACAAGTCCAGTTGATTCTTTGAATCAACACAAGGAAGAAAGCAGCTTTACACATGCAGGGAGGGATTTGTCAGGGAGTAAAGGGAGAAAATAGGAAAGAGCCATGTCTACTTGTAAAAGAAACTAACATAAGAACACAGGCAAACAAAATCAGTATCGTGGTATTTTGGCAATTACTGATTAAGTGAGGGGAAAAAAAGGTTTCCTCCAAAGTAATTACTTTAAATATAATTCAGCTCCTGCCAGGCTCAAAAGCTTCAAATCTTTACTTCTGATCTATTTCATCTAGCATTATAACTTTAAGAGTGGATAAAAATAAAAACTATACCTTGTCTATGAGGTCTCTGTTGACACAGTTTGGAAGCTGCTGAAGAAAAGCATCTACTATAAGTTTTAAATGAGATCCAGTACTGGCTTCTTCATCCTCTTGTTCTAACAAAGTGAAATAAATAAGCAGCACACATCTTTAAGCTATGAAATATTACAACTCATCATCATATCCCCCAAACACAGTGCATTTGTAATGTTTAGTTGTTAAATGCTCATTCACAGATTCAAACATATATATAGTAAGGATGAATATAAAAATACTTGAATGAAAAAAAAAAAAAGAATAAAAATTCATTGATTGCCTATGCTGACAAAAGTCAAAAGTATCACCTTTAAAACTTGTCTTCCCCTTCATGAAGTTCCTACCTCCTAATTTATACTGTCAGGTGCAACAACAAATCTATATTCCTAGGAAACAATGGTAATTTCTTTACATGATAAAAAAAGGACCACAAGAAGACCCAAACATGGGGGAAAACAAACTAAACCACCTTAATGAAACTGTGAATTCTACATTTTCTGTATGTTTGTCCTGCAGGAGAAACAGAATTTTTGATCAAAAACATCCGTTAAGGCTACTCTTTCACCCAGTGTGTTCTGGAGATCTTTTCAATTTAGGCTGTAAAAGCTAGAGGCCGACCCAATTCCTTCTGTAGTGCTGAAACCAGAGGCTAGAACCATAAAGCAACAAGGATGGAGGGCTGATCATGCAGCAATTGCATGGCAAGTGACAACTTGTTTTTCAAGCAGATGCTTCTGTGTAATTTGCAACACAGGAAGCAGCAACAGTGACCTGTATCTACTCATTGAGTCCCTAACAATACTCAAGTAGAAGACTGCAGGACAACTCTACCACTGGAATTCAGCTTTTCTGACATCACCTATGAAGACCTCACCAAAGCAATGCCCCTCTAATTGCAAAATTTGTGCTATGCTTAAAGAAGTTTTCCAGATTTCCTTGTTTCCAAAGCAACACAGAAGAACACTGCTTCCTGAAAAAAGAACATGATGAAGCTTCGTTTTCTTTCAGTTTGAGGATGCTCTCCAGTAACAGGAATACCTAAGAAGTATTTAAAAGGAAAACAGACTTCATGTGGTGGAATTCACACCCAAGTAAACTACAAATAGCCAACATCAGGTAAATTCCTTATGTCTTTAAAGGCTGCATGGTAAGATAAATCAGCATGAAGACTGAAGTTCCGTTTTCAAGTTGCAGAAAGGAAAGAGATAACTGAGATGCTACATGGCAGGACTTGGTTTTGGAAACTGCTAAGGGCAGGGCTTGATCTTAGGTAGAGAAGTGCTAAAAACTACTCCAAGGAGCACTGCTAGCTACCCAGCCTTGAAGGTGGTAGAGACTGAAGCAGATGGCATCACCTCTTCCTTGGCTTGCACAGGCAACTAGAAGTCAGAAGAACAAGAGAGAGGGTTCACTAAGAAAGGAGTTCCAGATGCTCAGCAAAAGAGGACCATGGAGTTTTAAATGCTTAATGGAACCCTGACTCTCTCATCATCCTTATACTCACAGCTCACTAGGATGCATACAACAGCTCAAACAAGACAATTTTTAGCAGCAAATCTCATTTTAATGCATTCTTCCATTTAGGTACTTACAGCCACACCTTCCTGTCTGCCTCTAATGTTCTTCTATCTTCCCCTTTTCTCCTTTACAGCAATTAGTTGTCTCACCTCAATCTTGTATGCAAACTGACTCAATGCTCTTGAAATCAATTTAAAGAGGTCTTTGACATTTTCAGCCACTATTTAAGGCAATCTTTCAAGAGTCCCTGTTATCACATTGAAATTCAACAGTTCCCAAATGTATCTCCTCCTTCACTAGTCCTCTCCTTCACTGAGAGCTAAAGATGTTTTCACACTGTATTTCTTTCTCACCACAGGATGTGGATCCTTTGTAAGTGGAAAGGCTCTTTTGTAGTACCTAAAGCAGGTACAGGAAATGAAATGGTCACGGCTTCCAAGCATGGATTCTTGTGAAAAAAATCAGTTAATTTCTTGCTTTGCACTTCAATCCTCTTGAGTTCCAGTCTTTCATCAGCAGCACATTTTAGAAGTGCATTACCTCTCCTAAAAATTCACTACAAGTAGTAATGTTCAACAATTAGTTAGACTATTTGTAATGGTCTATCTGATCTGCAGATCAAATCACGCAGCATAATCACTGTAGAGACCAAAAGAAGAATTAACCTTTTCTTTTTAAACACCTTTCTATTTACCAGAAATGAATGCAATGATGCAGTTCCCAGGGAGCAGAACTGAGAAAGCATCAGGAGACACCAAGCACTTACTGTCATTCTCCTGCAACGATTGGTGCCAAACATCTTCTGCTTCCCCAAAAGTAGTTGTCTGTCTTCCCCCCTCCCTACACACCTACCTTCTGTGAAAGCCCTGGCTCCCTTCATGTCAACATCATCTTTTAAATTTTACAAAACTATAACCTTGCAGAAGGCTTTCTCCTAGAAACCCCACTCTGCCTGAAACCTTCAGTCTATTTTGTATAGTATCACCCAGATAATGGAAATAACCAAAGTGCTTTTGTAATGCCTGGAGCTATTCCTCTGCGAGACAAGGTTCTGAAATGGATTTGATGATGCAGGAGCCCTCCCATTCTGATGGTACAAACTAAGACCGTGAGTAAATAGTTGGCTGGATCCCCCTCTCTGCACAACACTTGGCATAAGCATTATTATTAAACATCTTGTTGAATGAAAACCTGAGGAATGTGTTCAGAATCTAGTCTCACAAATTAAAAAAAAAAAAGATTTATTAATTAATACTTTTAGATTTGCTTTTAAATTCCTGCTCTTCTGATAGGAACTTTGCTAGCCCTGTAATCACTGTAGCAACGTTAACAGGGTTGTCTTCATACTCACTTCTACACATCATTTCTGCTGCTGACCAACCTCACAAAAACAGGCACTAGGTATGTATTAACATCAGATGACTCCTGCTCCCGGTACCCTGGGTGGCTTCCACCCTGGCCATTCCTTATTTAAGAGCTTTGTCTCCATTCACACAGCTTCATGTTTCACATTTTATCTTCTCTGTTAAAAACAACCTCAAAACTCACTTCTTTCAGCATGTTTGCGGTGACTATTTGCAGCTCCGGTGCTATCTGCTCCCTCTCTCTTCCCTGAGCATATTGAAAATAAGAAAATTAAGATTCACTCAAAGTTAACACAATAAAGAAACAAAATAAATTAGCTGAATTCCTGGTAAACAACTAAGTGCATCATGGAAAACTTTCCTTTTATATGGCCTACCTTAAACTTAGCTGATTATAGTCTCTGACCTTTAAGAAAAAAGTGTAGAAACAAACACTGCACTGCTGTGAAGGGGAGACCTGCTTTAAAAACACACACTTGGAGAAACTGTCTTGTCTCCCTCATACTGGGCTTGCTCAGCCTGGAGAAGAGAAGGCTCCAGGGAGATCTTAAAGCAGCTCCCACTGCCTAAAGGGGCTGACAAGAAACCTGGAGGGGGGCTTTTTACAAGGGCAGGTAGTGGTAGGACAAGGGAGAATGGCTTTAACCTGACAGAGAGGAGATTGAGATTAGCTATGAGGAAGAAGTTCTTCCCTGTGAGGGTGCTGAGGCGCTGGCACAGGGTGCCCAGAGAAGCTGTGGCTGCCTGGCAGTGTTCAAGACCAGGCTGGACAGAGCCTTGGGTGGCATGGTCTAGTGTGAGGTGCCCCTGCCCATGGCAGGAGGTTGGAACTGGAGGAGCTTTAAGGTCCCTTCCAACCCAAACCAGTCTGGGATTCTATGATTCTATATTTGGACAGGGAGAAAAGACTGAAGTGACAGAAGGAGATGCAGAAGTTACAAGAGGTATGTAGTATCCACTATGTGACTGGATTGTCTACCCTATTTATCCCGTTTCCTGCCCTGTAATTTACTTATTCCCTCTGCTAATGAAATCCACGCTACCAAACTATCAACAATACTTAAAACCACTTTTCTTCATCTTGGGCCTTATGGGGTTTCTGAGCTAAAGCTGTATTTTGTAGCTGAAGGACACCCAGTTTTCCTAATTTCAAACCTAAGAGAATTTTACTTAAGAAAAAGCCTGGAAAAAAAGAAATCTTCCAGTTCATTAGACAGAAACCCATCACAGAACTTGAAACAGCTCCTAAATTAAGATTTTTGTCAATTCTGTATATCTGGTGCTGCCAACTAGGGGTGTTCAGAATTACACACACACCAAAACAATCATTGCCTTTCGCTTATGTTTCAACAAAAGTAATGCTCACATGCTGCTAATTTACAGCCCAGTCTTCCAGCAGAACAAGGAGTTACCAATTTTATCTATCTTAATTTCCATCTTTAATTTCTGAAGCTACTTGCCATTACCAAAGCAATTTGACACAGGTATGGAATTCTCAAAGACACTAAAGTCTCTACCTGTCTCACAAAAAATAAACTAATGAGCAAAGACAAGCAGGAAGCAGCAAGAAAAAGCCTCCAGGGTGAGCCAAATGACATCGCCTTCACAAGGTAGAGAGAAAAAGGCTTTCATAAAGGGCTGGCTGTTTAAGGAGAAAAAATAAACTCCATTCTGACATATTTTAGATTAACCTTTCAGATGAAAGTATGTTTAATGCCTAGTCAACAGCTCATTTAAAAACAGAAACTAGTATTGACTGTTGTTAATATATGATGATGAAACGTTCTACAATCAAGAGCATCCCTCTAAGCTACTATACACACTCAAACTGGTATTGCCTCCCAACGAGCTACAGCTACAGAGAGGCTGCATGTTCTATGTCTGATCTCATCTCCTGTTACTCCTTCCTCACTCGTGCAGGATCTCACTCTCATGTTAGTTGGCTTTGTCTCTGTATTTGGAATAATCTTCATCTTCCTCCCAAGTCAAGAATCCCTTCCAAAAAAATCAAGAAGGACATACCCACATTCCTGTAGATGTCTATTGACAAACTATTCTGGCTTATCTAGCAGGCTGTGAGCAACCCAGAATGAACTGCTCTTTTTCCCTTCGATTCCAAGAGAACATCCATGTGTACCACCCTTACAGACAGCTGGAACCAAGCTCTTCACCAGTTTTCCCAAGATCTCTGACCAGAGGATAACAACTCACTAAAGGTGAACATCCTGCAATTAAAACTTCACATCTTACCCAGCTGAATGAGCTGATGGGTACTCAGAGAATAAAGTAAATAAATGGAAGGGAAAATTCGTTCCAAAGAGGATATGGCTTTTTGTATTCCAGGTCTGGATAAACAAAGATAAAACCTAAGAAAATACACGACAGCGTTATGCTGACAGTTTTCCTTCCAGGATGAGTCTGAAACAGTCTGACTTCAGAGCTCTCCAATTTCTTTGCATCTGTGAGGTGCCACACACCAGCACAGTTCCAAGTTCAGCTCAACTAACTTTCAGTACACAAGAATCATCCAATTTGAAGCTCCGTATGCCCTAACTAATCCCTGTGGTCAGCTGAGTCTGATACATTGAGGATTTGTTCAAGCCACTCCATGCTCAGACCCACAGCTCCAGGCATCAGCTTGGTTCAATGAACCCATGCTTTAAACACCCACATACAGTCTTTGCCAGGGCCTGAGCTTATTTGCTTCCACATGAGCTTCACGGCTTGAAGTTCTGGCTTTAACTTCTTAGCTTTTAAAGCACAATGCTGTTTCAAGCAACAGGATTCCCTACCAGAAGGGGCTGTTAGGGAATGTGATGTGCAAGAGCAGCCTTAGCTGCAGGGAGCATAAAATGCAATGTCATTTTGATGCTTAGGGGAGTAAGGAAGGGCTTAGGGCAGTAAGGAAGGCATGCAGCAATCTCACCACCCGGGATTTCAGGAGAGCAGACTTTGGTCTCCTCAGGTATCTGTCTGGTAGAGTATCAGGGGATAAAGCCCTGGAGGGAGGAAGGGCCCAAGAAAGTTGGATAATATTCAAGTATCACCTGCTCCAAGCTCAGAATTGATGCAACTCAACAAAGACGAAGTCAGGCAAAAATGCCGGGAGGCTTGCATGGATGAACAAGCTCTTGGACAAGCTCCAACACAAAAAGGAAGCCTACAGAAGGTGGAAGCAAGGACAGGTAGCCTGGGAGGAATACAGAGAAACTGAGCACACCGATCTGGTTAGGAAAGCCAAAGCCCTGACAGAATTAAATCTGGCTAGGAACATCAAGGGCAACTAGAAAAGCTTCTATAGGTATGTCAGTGGTAAAAGGAAGACTAGGGGAAATGTGGGCCCTTCTCCAGAAGGAAACAGGAGACCTGGATTCCTGGGACATGGAGACTACTGAGGTACTCAACAACCTTCACCAGCAGCCTCAGCCTTCACCAGCAAGTGATCCAGCCACACCACTCGTGTTGCAGAAGGCAAGGGCAGGGACTGGGAGAATGAAGAACCACCTACTGTAGGAGAAGATCAGGTTCAAGACCACCTAAGGAACCTGAAGGTGCACAAGTCTATGGGATGTGATGAGATGCATCCAGGGGTCCTGAATGAACTGGTAGCTGAAGTGGTTAAGCTGCTATCCATCATATTTGGGAAGTCATGGCAGTCTTGTTAAGTTCCTGCTGGCCGGAAAACGGGAAACATAACTCCCACTTTAAAAAAGGGGAAAAGGGAGGACCTGGGGAACTACAGGCCAGTCAGTCTCATCTTGGTTTCCTCCTGGAAACTATGCTGAGGTGCATGGACAATAGGGAAGTGGCTGGTGACAGGCAACATGGCTTCACTAAGGGCAAGTCATGCCTGACAAATCTGGTGGCTTTCTATGATGGGGTTATGGTGTTGGTGGATAAGGGAAGAGCAACTGACATCATCTACCTGGACTTGTGCAAAGCGTCTGACACTGTCCCACATGACATCCTTGTCTCTAAACTGGAGAGATGTGGATTTGACAGATAGATCAATAAGGGAAAAGGAATTGGCTGGGTGGTTGACAGCTCAAAGAGTTGTGGTCAATGCCTCAATGCCCAAGTGGAGACCAGTGATGAGCAGTGAAAACCATTCTATGATGATGACATTAGGAATTCCTTAGATCAGGCAGTGTTTTCAGTTTTAAGCCACAGAATCTCCAGCCAGTGGACTCCAGAGGTGATTTTCTCCCCCCCACATTCTAGGCACAGAACAAGTCTCCTGCTTCAGAAATGAAAGAAAAGAATCTGCATAGGTCCCTGGAAATGCAAAGCAGCAAAACCACTGTGTTACAAACCGTGCTCAAAGACAGTGCCTCACTTGCTCCTCTTAATTTGGCTTTTAGCACCCGATGCTGCTTTTCCCACTATTCATTACCACTAAAAGAAAAACTTGTGATTCATAAGAATTCTTAAGAAACATTTTTCTGGTTCCCCTGCAAAACTAACACAGCCAGATTTCCATAGGTTTTGTTTGCAGTGCTTTATGCACAGTCAGAGGTCAGAATTCTTAATCCTGCTATGTAAAGCCATAAGACAAAGGCAGAGCTGACTCTTGCACTTCGAGAGAAGTTTAAACCAGAAAATACTTTATTAGTACCCTAAGCACATTTGATAAGAAAATCATTTATGCACATTCTTCCTAGTCACTTTTCAGACCACTGCCTTCACATGTGATTATCTTTAAGAGCTAAAGGAATCAGTAACTGTCGCTACATAAACCTCCATATAATACTTTTCACTTGCTTCTGAATGTCGTTACAAATGTTTTTTTGACCACCATCCTAACAGCTTCTAGCTACTAGTTTCATAAATAAATCATTCTTCTCCCTGAAGTTTATCTGCTGACTAAAAATCATCAAGCTCAAAAAACAACCCCAAACCAGAAAACAACAAATAATTCCTAAATCCAATTCTTCTTACCTTGCTCATCAAGAAGCTTTTTTGTAAGATCTTCTGCCTCATCTCCACAGTCTAACTCCAGGGGATCATCATTAATATCCAGGTTCTCCAGCTCCAACTCCAAATCCTCACTCCCAGGTGCTTCCTTATTATCTTTGGCATCTTTTGAATCTATTTAAAAGTTAAGTAGAAATATTAAATTATTAAATACATGAGGGCATGATTAGAATACAGGAAGACTCAACGTTACTAAACCTGTGTCTCTTTACTGTCTTAGTCTTGTTAAAAGGAAACAGGCAAAGGATATCTACTTCTTGAGACTACACTGTCATCTGTCAGGTCTCAGTGGTTTGTGATCCTTCATATAGCTTTACTCCTACACCTGTGTCCTGGGTTCAGGTAAACCACGACAGCCTGAAAACTGCAAACATTTACCTACATTGGGGTTTCTAAGGATTGCCAACAGTTCTTAGTGCTTTGGTTTGCTCTGAACTGTACCTGGTACATCTTTAACGGATGACATGCATACATTCAAATGGAACAAGATATGCAGAAATGTAGCAATTTAAGTCCAAAAGTGCTTAAAATGGATAGTGAGGCCATCACATGGGAAGCGCAAGCAAAAAGAACTTGCATACTGGGAAGGTCAGATAGAAAAATACAACCTTCAAAATAGGATCAAAAACATTATTAAAAAATTGCCATTTTCAAAGATAAAACCCCTAAGTGAATGTTCGCACTGCATGCTCTTCATACCTCAACTGAAAACAGAACTAACTAAGCAAAGCAAACAAAGCTTTTACACAGACTGAGCAAAAAAAGCAAAAAGCAGAACAGGAGGAAGATACTGATGATGTGTTATATAGAAGGTCAAATAAAAATCATATTTTCCTTGAAAACTAATAATCTGAATCTCTAGATGAAGATTCTGAAAGGAATAGCTAATGTTTTTCTTGGACCACAACACTGGTCCACCAAAGAGCATTTTTTTCAAGAGATTACCAGCTACAGCATTTTGTTACTCTTTCAGGCCTCCTTCAAACCTCACTTGCAGACTATGCTTTACAAAAAAATAGCATTTTCAAGGCAAATAACCTACAAAAAAGTGACAACTTCTAAACAGTGCACACATTATATGGAAATAGCCAACTCACAAAGCAGGCAACCTGGTTAGAATCGGAGGGTAAACTGCTCTGGAATGGACCCTGGTGAGGTCCCTAGCTCAAACCTTTTGCTCAAAGTGGATAAGCAATGTATTGGCACCAAATTTCTCAGGTATTTTTTTGCAGTTGTCTTGAAAAATCTATTAAAACAGAGATTACAGTCTCCCTGAGTGAGCTGCTGCAACACCTTATTATCAGAATTTAGAAAATCAGAAAGAAGGCCATGAGCTATGAAGTTTAAATTCCCTTCACACCCAACACTGACCTACTGCACATGCAGTAGGTAATCATGTAGTCTCTGTCTTCTTTGGTATTTCATCAATGCCAAAACACTGCTTTGATGCAAATATGCATCTTCTGCTACACTCTGAGCCAGTGATGGCGAGTATTTTTTTATCCCACTATAACTAAAGTCTACCAATGCCTGGTTGTGAACCTGTGTCCAAAGTGAGGAACCCTCCAGACCTTTAAATCTATTGGAACTTTACACTGACAACAGTTAAGACACCATTAACAGTTCAGCGGAAAACACAGAATGAACACTAACGTCTTTCAAAGATGATAAACTTTCAGGTTTCTCACAGCAAAGTTAGTATTTACTGGCATTGGTTAATCTCCAATTATTTTAAACTTCAGCATTTATCAATATGAAAATGCACTGACTTTTTGTCTTCTTCAAACTAGCTGCAACCACTGACAATGCACCCTGCACTGAGAGAAAAGCATCAGAAGATAACGTTTGAAATAAGGTATAAATGCTGTAATTCCTAAAGCAGATTATATCCCAGATACAATACCTATCCTACAGTTTCTTCCCTAAAAACTCATCCAAACTGGTGTAGTGACTTGATCACCACAAATTATTTCATTAGAGACTCATTACTTTCATCAGATTTGCATATCTGTTGGACAAGACATCTTAAACACTCATTGATGCATTCTACCTCTTGATTCATCTTTGCCAGAATCCTTGTTCTGGGAACATTTTTCATTATCCTTAAACAAAATTGCTGGTACAAAAGCCTTTAAGTCGATGAGATTCTCATAGAAGTTTCTGGCATCTTCATCTTCCCAGATACCCCCCTCCAAGTCATATTCTCCAGGCTTTCCTGGTGTGAAAATATCAATGCCAGGTCCATGTTCTGCAGAAACAGTGAAACCACAAGAAAGTTATTTACACAAATCTTCTAAAGGGAGGCACCTTTAAGGATTAAAACCAAAATGCTTTTAGAAACATTTATTACCACCACTGTTTCAACTGAAATACTGCAATGTGTACTTTAAAATGCTTTTAACTACCCAATTGTAATATTAGATGCATCCATAAGTTATCTTAAAACTGTAGATTTTACATCGGTAGAAAACACAGTATCAGGGTAAAAGTCAAATCAAGTCAGTCAAGTGAAATCAAGCAGCACATTATGTGGTTTTAGAAAGGAAAGATGTAACAGGCTTTAACCACATTAGCATAGAAAGTAATCATGGAGTGTGATGAACTGCACCCCATGGTATTGCAAGAAGAGAAGTTTAAAAATAATAATTTTAAATTTAGAGGCATTCAAGAAATACTTTTTTAAAGCTCAAGATCACTTCAGACAAAAGGCGCACTCTACAACATCTCTGAATCTAAAATGTGAGAGTTATTAAAGCATTGAACAACTCTACCAGTTAACAGCTGCACTTCTTTGGAGGTCTGAGAGCCACCTGGTGATATGTCTGGCTTAACAATATGTTCCTGCTCAGAACATCATAACCCAAAGTAACTTCAAACCCATTTTTGAACAATATCAGATTTTAAAACTCTAACATATACAGTCCTTTAAATATTTTAAAATGCATTAAATTAAATGGAAATGATTACGTGAAAATAATTTTCCATTTATTCCTATATTACCTGAAACAAATCTAAAGGGGTATTACTCAAGTTACCATAATGGCATACGTAACATGGCATATACAACAGTTGTGGTTACATGTTAGGTTTAATTACTTTAATTAAAATAATAATGTAATATTCATTCACTGATATCTTTAAAGGGGAAAACCTAACTAAAAAGAAATCAATGGAAAGAACACATCAGTAAGAGGGTTTGGTTGGCTTTCTCACCACATCCAAACCCAGTATTCTCTACTTGCTTTAGAAGGCTTCCTACCCTCAGGTGCTGGTTTCTCTTGGGGAAGGTCAGGCATATTTTCATCCAAAAGATCAGCCAGAGACTGAGAGTTTGCCAACAGCTTCTGATACGACATTGCAAACTCCTCATACTGCTTGTGTCGATCTTCACTCAGCTCTCCTTTGGAGTGAAGGATGCGCCTACAAAATCAAAGTTACAGTAAGACAACCTTTCTTCTTAAAATCTACCTGAGCTGTGCTGAACTACTACCAATTTCTGTGAGCAGGGCTAACCTTCCCTCTTTGTGAGAATTCTAGTTTAGACCACAGTAGAAAAAATTGGAGCAACACAATTTTTCCTTCCAACCAACCATACTGAATTACTGACTTCAGTATCATTGAATTCAGTAGTTACAGAAGCAATAACTTCAGTGTCCAACAAGAAAAAGTAACTTATTTTGCAATGATTATCCTGTAATAGTCCTGCAGTATGAAAAAAGACTTTTGTAGTAAATTAAAACATTCAACTTAGATGAAAGCTGGATAAAAGTTGCTTTACATCTGTAACAATGCATTTCCATCATGTTCAAATGATTCAGTGGGCAGTCATTGCTAGAAGGCTCAGACAACTTGTATGTTAAAAGCAGCCTGTTCATTTCCTGACAAATCAAGTTATTTCAAGGCTATCAGTCCAAATGAAGAGCAGTTTGGGGTTTTTTTCCACTTGCTCTGTGTTTTCTTTTATGAAAATATCCATACTTATTTTATATTTCATTTTTAAAAGTGAAACCTGATCTCAAAAGCAAGTTGCATTTGAAGGAACATAATCACTGCTGACACATTTTCTTACCAAACTTCAATTAAGGCCATCTTGGATTTTAAACAAAAACATCAAGAACTTTCAGTAGTTTTAACCAAATATACAGAATAAGGTAATCTTTACTAGTACAAAGCCTGCCACAGAAGACTAATTAAAGACTGTTATCCTTGATTTTGGGATAACTAAGAATAAGCCGGTTGCCCATTACCAATGTTCCAGTTTCTCCTCATCTTGGGCTCCTGCTACTGCGAAGATACAAATAAGCTCAGATCAAACATGGGTTTTCAAAAGAGAAAGCTTTTCAAAGGACAGAATGAGCTTGCCTAGCAAGATTCCAATGTGTTTTACAGTAGCTTGAATAATGCTGGTAACATTGGACTAACCAGCTGTAACCACTGACAATGCACCCTGCAATGAGACGAGAGCATCAGAAGTTTGAAATAGGGTGCAAATGTCCTAATTCCTAAAGCAGATTGTATCATTACATTACCTTTAGGCTTTTATTAAGCAATAAGTATACTATCATGTTCTTGCCAAAAACCCCGAACACCTTATGGCATAAAAATTCCAGATCAGTTTAAGCAATGTAAGTTGACGGGTATCAATCTTGGCTTTTGCCAGTTCCAGGTTGACCGTAAAACTGAAGTCACCTTTATACACAAGACATTCGCAGGGTAAGCAACAAAATCCCTTATACCTGCTCAGAACCAAACCCTGGCATCAATGTCTTGCTAGAGGGCAAGAAGCTGTAGTTCTATTTCTTGTCCCTCTTACAAAGACACACCTATGTAACACGTATCACCTGCTCCTGCAAAGCAGAGCAAGAAAAATTAACTAATCAAATAACCCCTGACAATTTCTGAAGCACAGTAGTTCGGTTTGGATTCAGGAAACATGTGAAGTGCCCATTCACAGCCTTTGCATGGACACAGCTATCCACTGCATACTTACTGTGAGTTTAAAATATAACAGCAGCCTCAAACAGGAGCACTGAAGCTGTGCTGTTATTAAAAACCAAAAGAGCAAAGTGCTGTAACAACAGTACAAGAGCTTCAGTTCTCGGTTTCGGTTCCCAAAAGACAAGTGTTAACAAATTCAAGGAAGCTAAAGCATCCTGAGCAGATTTTAAAAGCACAAGTGATTTTTAATACGACTAAAAGTACAGCACACGGTACTTGTGTTATTGCCTGTCTCTTCAGAACTTCATGCAGTGCCACAATACAAGTTCAGCAGATTTTAAAACACATCCTTAATTTAGACCAAAGCAGTTCCCTTTCATATCTAACACTCATTTCTGAGAACTCCCAGAATTTTGGAATCGAGTGGTTCCTTCCAGTGACACAGCCTGCACAGTTTGCTGTGCCATTTAGTTGTGTAACCAAAAGACCACCAGGTTTTATTGTCAAAGCATAAATCAAGGTAGTTTTCCCAATTATCCACTTGCAGAAACCCTTGTGTCTAATAATGCTTTCATTCTACCTAAATGATTCAGTAGATAACACAATATTAAAGCACTGTTGAGGTTAGAATCCTATCACAGAATGGTTTGTGTTGGAAGGGACCTTAAAGCTCATCCAGTTCCCAGCCCCTGCCACGGGCAGGGACACCTTCCACTAGAGCAGGTTGCTCCAAGCCCCTGTGTCCAACCTGGCCTTGAACACTGCCAGGGATGGGGCAGCCACAGCTTCTCTGGGCACCCTGTGCCAGCACCTCACCATCCCTTTTAGTTAGCATATTAATTTTCAACTAATTCAATCAACCTGTAAAGCTTATTTCACACTCTCCTGACACAGATAAATTCAAGAGGTATCTACTTCACAAAAATATCATAACCTAAACATATGAAACTGTTGAGGCACAGGAAGGAACAGTTTGCTCCCTGTTCACTTCACTAGTTCTGGAATAACAGTGGGAATATAAACTGTGGCTATCAGCAAAGTAGATCAGGTTGCAAATATAGAGAGGACTCTTTTTTCCTCAATAGGTTATCACTTTTTCTTTTCTCTTTTTAAAACAACCAAAACCAACCACCCCAAACAACCAAAAAATAGCCCACAAAGAAATAAAAAGCAAGCAAGCAACCAACCACACAATCACAGTTTAGGAATATTTCGACAGCATTCACAACTTCTTAACTAGGCAAGTTTCTGCCCTGCACTTCCATAGCTGCATATGCCAAGTATCTGTTACAGACATGTTGTAAGCAAACAGAATTAGGCAGGAAATGTTGCTGATGTCTTGTTTCTTAAACAAAACTTATTCCCCAATTTTTATTAAACAGTAAACACCTTAAAGTTCAGATAAATAATAGGATTATCTTAATCCAGTGATAAATGATAGCTCTTCACTCTCCTGCCCCAAAACAAAGATTTACACCCAGTTGATAGGGATAATTCAGATCATGTGCATGAAGAGGTCTCTAGTCTGATCTACCCAAAGCGGGCTCAGTGATGAGATCATACCAGGCTCAGAGCTCTATCCAGTCATTTTTATCAAGTGTGCAAGCAAACATTAACATGTATTTCCCTCTCCCAGGTCACTTACATTCTTTCTTCTTGGCTTCTTCACATTCTTCCTATGTCTTGGAAATATTTTTCACTTTATTTCCTACTATACGAACTTTGTGACACACTCAGTGACATCCCAGCCAGAACCAATCATAATTGTGTATACAAGTATAAAAGTTTCTATTCACTAACTTAAAAAAAACCTCTAACCAAATAACTAGGTCAACAACTTACTTTAAAGTAAAAGATATCTGCCGAAATAATAGTAGCTCCCAAGTCAGTTGGTGGTCCTGTGAAATACACCACTTAACTGACTGAGACCAGGCAGGACTGCAGGAAAATACCTCTCAGCACAATGGATCCAAGTTCAAAGCCTTGGTTTGGGAACATCAAATGTTAATGTATTCCACACATATATTTGGCCCTGGATTGGTGTTCAGCTTTTTAGCTGAAATCTGGGCCTACACACACAGTAACATGTTCATTTCTATCTGCCTGGAATGCTTCCAAAAGGATTTAATAATGACAGTGTTTCAAGACCAGCAGTTGGGTTTAGGCTGGCTCCAATAATGACAACTCAGGATGCTTTAAAGAAAGGCAAACGATTATTAAACAATGTCATAATGGTAGAAATTACTCAGATCTCAAAGGTTTGTATACTCATACCCTTCAATATTAGTATTTCATAGAGACATTTAAGAGGATTTGAATCAAACTGTCTACAACCCCCAACATTTTAATATATATGAATTTGCCCACACTAAAATGTAAGGGATACTTAGTTAATCTAACCTCATTTTTCCTCCATACTGGTACACTAACAAAAACCAAGCCAAAGCCATTGTGGCATACGCTCCGTGTTGGGTAGAAAGGGAGAAATCAGACTGTGCCAGCTGGGAAAGGACAGTACCAGCTGGGGAAGGCGTGGTATTCTCAAGCTGCTAAGGGAACATCATGAAATTAACAGAGTTAAAAGAGTTAAAACTAAGGATCAGTCTCCTTTTTCTTTAAAGATATTGAAAGAGTCTCTTTGGGTTTTGCTATTTAAGTACTCAGAGCAAATTTTTAACTTCTTTCTTAGATACTCTGCAGAATACACTTCTACACACCGCTAACAGATATTGTTTGCAAACACTGCAACAAATCTGGGCATTTCATAAGCAAACTACTTTTTTTCTCCATAAATAAAAAGCAATATTTGAGTGTCACCTGTTTTGTCTTTCAATATTTTGTAGCTCCCTGTGGTCCCTTTTCAGGTGTTTGGTCAAAGATGTAAAGTATTCCTTCAACAAATTCTGGAAGGGCTGTTGTTTCTCTGGGCTAATTATCTCACTAGGAGGAAAGCTCAAGTTAAACTTCTCTGCAACAGTTTTGACTTTCCTTGGTACCAAACCAGCAATGTCATCTCCACAGTGCCGACAAAAGCTGATAACCACAGAAACGTGAGTGTGGGATTCTCGATCAGCGTTAATAATGTTTTTAAGCTGCTCATAGATCAAGGACAGACCTTCCTTGTCAGTGAAAATCCCAACTATTGTCAATTCTGCAATGAATCGCAGATCAGTTCTTAACTTGGTAATGTTGGGAGTTTTCTCTTCTTTCCTTGCTTCAAAATGTTTTTTCCAAGCCTGAAGTAAAGAAGGAGCAAAATCAGCATAGCGCTGGTGAAAGAGGGAACACAGGTGCACGGCGCAGTTCACATCTGATATTTTCAGTTTGGCTTCCACAATAGAAGCTACTGCTTCTGCAATGTATTTGCTTAAATTCAGGCTATTAAAGTCATGGGACAAGGAGTCCCTTTGTTGCTCTGTAATGGTTTTGAGCTTCTTAACAAAAGCTGTGTTCTTCTTCAGGCTGGAATCCAGTCTGCTAAAGAAGTTCTCCTCAGGGCGGTTGTCTGGTGCATTCTGGTTTTTGCTGCGAAGCTCTTTCCTCGCCTGATGGCGCTCCCAAGCCTCCTGATGGAGCTGATGGGCTTCCTCTTTTTCTCTAAGAGAGATAAAAGTGAGTCATTTTCATTACAGAACCTGATTTCAGATTAACAGTTCGAAGGAAAGAAAGGCTTAGTTGTAAACCTTTCAGTAGTTCTAAACACAATTTCCCCTTAATAGTCTGTTTTTAAATATTTAACAAGTTAATCCTAGAAAGCTAAAGCACCTGCTAAATAAACTTCGCTTCATGATTTTGCTTGTAACAAAGTGAAATTTACCAGGTATTTCTATGCAGAACATATTAATCCCAACAAACTTTGAGGTATCAACATAAAACTCCATTTACTCCAGACAAAGATGCAGTTTACAGAAGAGGACAACAATCTTTCTACAGGTTACTGAATTACAGAGTAAGGGGAAATCTTTTATTCCCAGACTACTGAAAAATCTTAAGCAGGTGAAATACATCTTCCCAGCTGGAATTTGGCTATGACATTGCCTGGCTCTTAGAAAATGATGTATTTCAAATGTAAGAATATCCAGAAACGGGCTTTATTGCTCTAAAGATGCTATCTTCAACACTGTAGTACCTTTTGACAACATACTAAGAAACTGTGTCTTGGTAATAGGGTCCCTCCTAACTGGCCTACAGAGATATCAAATCCCCATAGTAGAGATCAAAGTAACAGAGGTTAGAGGTGAAAATTCAGAACTACGTGGAAGTCACAAAGCATACTGTGCTAGCTATGTAGAATTTGTAATGATTTATACACCTTATTGTAAGTCAAACAGTTCATCTTTTATAATCCTGCCCACAACCCTGACAGCTGGACAACAGCATTGGGCACAATTAAACCATTAAGACAACTTACTTCAGTTGAGCAGCTGCTTCTTCCTGTTTCTTTTTCTCTTCCTCCTCTTGTTTCTTTTTCTCCTCTTCTTCAAGTTTCTTTTTTTCTTCTTCTTCTTTCTTCTTTTGTTCTTCCTCTGCCTTTACTTTATCCTCTTCTTTTTTCTTCCGCTCCTTGTCTTCCTTTTTTCTTTTATCCTCTTCCAGCTTTTTCTTTTTGTCATCAGGAACCTTTAGAGTCTCTCTCTTCATGCCAACCTTGACATCTTCTTTTGGCTTCTCCCTGGTGCTCACTGGCCGCCTTTCTGTAAATTCTTTTTCTTTATTATTTAAGGGAGATTCTTTTTCTTCCATATTTGGGGGCTTTTTGCGCTCAGCTGGCATTGTGTTACCCAGGCAAGCCTGCAGAACCACAGGAAAAGAAGTTCTTTTAACTTGTTGATATATTAGTCTCTTCCCAGCCCACTCATACTCACTTGATTCTTAATTAAGGTAACTCACAAATGTCTGACTTAAAAAAATAAAATACAGGTTTCAGGTAAGTTTTCTTGAGCTAAAGCAGGGACCTAGAACACATAAAAACTAATCCTTTTGCCAGTGTTACATTTTCAGCATGAATTGTGACGTAAAAGCACCTGAAGTTTCTACAACCAGGGGAATAAAAGATCTCAGCACACGAACAGAGTTCCATCTGACAAAACATCCAAGACTGATGAAAGCACATGCACCTGAACCTCACTGACCTTTCCACACATCTCCTAAGAATGCTCCCCCTTCCATTACCTCTACTTCGGATCACAGGATAGTGCACATTAGACGGGACCTCAAGTGCTTTAACCTCCTGCTGAAAGTAAGGTCAGCCATGAGGTCAGACAAGATTGCTCCAGGCTTGAAAATTGTTCTGGTTTCAGCTGAGATACAGTCAATTTTCTTCCTAGTAGTAGCTGGTGCAGTGCTGTGCTTTGGCTTTAGTCTGAGAATAAACTGTAACACACCAATGCTTTAGCTGTAGGTAGTTAGTGCTCTACTCTAAGTTAAGGACTTTTCAGTCTCTCATGCTCTGCCAGTGAGGAAGAGCAGAAGCTGGGAGGAAGCAGAAACAAGACACCTGACCCAAACTAGCCAAAGGGATATTCTACACCCTGCTTGGGAATGAGCTGGGCACAGGTCAGCAGGTGGTGAGCAATTGTACTGAGCATCACTTGACTCTCTTGGGTTTTATTCCTATTTGCTTTTATTATTATTATATTTTATTTCCATTATTAAACTGTTCTTATCTTAACCCACAGGTTTTACCTTTTTCCCCCCGATTCTCCACCCCATCCTACTGGGAAGAGCCGGGAAGGAGTAATAAGCAGCTGCCTGGTACTTAGTTGCCAGTTGGGGTTAAACCATAACAGAACTGCCAAGGAAGGAGACTGCAGCACCTCTCCAGCCAACCTGCTCCAGTGCCTGACTGTCCTCACTGTGACAAGGCATCATCTTGATCTCCTCTTTTCTCACCCCTCCCAAGATCTCCCCAATCACCTCGAACACTCTTCCATACAGCCCACGTACCAGCTGGCAGAGCACACTGTGCTAAGATGCACACACAAACCTTCCTGCCAGCAGAATGAATGGAAATAAAAGCAGAAAGGCTACAATTATCAGGAGTTATCAAAGGCTCCAGTTTATATCTCTTTCTACCCAACCAATGTTCTTCTGGGAACTTGTAGGAGCTAATTTAGCATCCTTGTGGTTTCTAGCCCTCTAAGTCTCAGTTTCGTTTGGCTCAGGATATAAATCACAACTTATAGTGACCAACAAAGAGTAAAATCACAGAACAATTTAGATAAATTGTTTAGATAAATTGAAGGAAACTGTGGAGGTCACCTAGTTCAAGTTCTTGCTCAAAGCAGTCCCAATCAAATCAGGGTTTGGCTAGCTAAGTTCTGAGTATCTCCAAGGACAGAGATGTAACAGCACTCTCTGTGCCCCTGTTCCAGAACCTCAATAACTACACTGTGAAAAAGCTTTTCCTAGTACCATGCTGGAATTTGCTATTCCCCATCTTGTGTCAGTTTCTTTTCATCCTATCCCTGTACAGCTTTGACAAGAATCCAGCTCCATCCCCTCCCATTAGGTTTTTGTAGACAGTAATAGGATCGTCTGCTCTCACAGATCAAGAACCCCAGTTCTCCAAGTCTCCTAATGATTTTGGTGGCCCTCCAATGGAGTTCTCCAGCCTGTCAATACCGTTCTCAGAACAGAGAATCCACAACTGGATGTGGTGTCTAGATGTAGATTTGTAAGCACCAATAGAGGGGAAGACTCACCTTCCCCAACCTGCTGGGTAACTCTTGTTACTACAGACTAGAATACAGCTGGCCTTAATGCAAGGGCATTCTGCTGACTCATGTCCAGGATCAGAGAGGGACAGACAGCACTGAAAGAGGCAGATACCACCATGTAAACCTTATTTACTTCAGGCTAAATCAAGTTCTATTTGCAGAAACCAACCTAATGTAGAGCGCTTCTAGGATTATTTTTAACTATTTTGAAAGCTATTTCTAGATAAGACATCACACTAAGGAATATCTCTGTTTCTAACGAAGTATTCTACATTCCCTCCCCTACCTCCCAAGCAATAAAACAGCAGATTCATAGACTGACTATCCCATATGGAAGGCTGTGTTACAAATTTAAGATGCTTCTCCAGGTCTTCTGAAGAAAAAGTTGCTTGCATAATTTCATAGGATATTCAGATATGGACACTGAGAACTAATCACTGGGAAACCTACTCAGGACTTGGCCTCTGACAGTAATTGGCAACGGCACCAATGAAGAAATGTTTCTGACACTGATTTATGGAAGCAAGACTAATCAAATCAGCATTGCTTAAACAAGTACTGGCAATTTTGGCTCCCTAATGAATGTCTGCAACTAAAAAACTTCACAGCTCAACATCTCAGAACTACTTGGATTTCAAAAACACTGATGTACATCATCTGAAAGCAGCGTTGTTATGAAATCAGTACTGATGGAACTGACAAAACCCAGAAAACTAAGCAGCTCCCAAAATTCCTTCATATTAAAGGTCTGAACTCATTTTTCTATCTCTGCAGGCCAGTTAGGTGGGACCTGTTCCTCAGATACATCTGGGAGGTGCAAAGCCTCTAAGTGTTCTGTTTCAAACTCAACAATAACTATTTATTAATCTTTTCTCACTACAAATCCACACTGGAAATTCCATCAATTTGAGATACCTAAGCTCGCTCTCCCACCATTTCTAACAAAATGGGTTTGAAAGGAAAGCTTTTAGCATTCGAACATCAGATTATCTTACTAGTAAGATTAAATACATGAGAACACTGTATGAGACTGAAGGGGGCCTACAAGGATGCTGGGGAGGGACTCTTCATTAGGGACTCTAGTGGCAGGACAAGGGGTAATGGCTTTAAACTTAAACAGGGGACCTTTAGGTTAGATATAAGGAAGAAGTTCTTCACAGTGAGGGTGGTGAGGCACTGGAATAGGTTGCCCAAGGAAGTTGTGAATGCTCCATCCCTGGAGGTGTTCAAAGCCAGGCTGGACAGAGCCTTGGGCAACATAGTTTAGTGTGTGGTGTCCCTGCTCATGGCAGGGGGGTTGGAACTAGATGATCTTAAGGTCCTTTCCAACCCTAACTATTCTATGATTCTATAATTGTACTAAAATGTCTTTCACCAAGAAATCTATTAAACAAACAAAAACACCCCCCCCCCATTTATTAAAAAAATAATAATTTTAGATTCTAAAAGACAATAAATTGGGAGTGAAGTTCAAAAGAAAAACAAAGGAGAAAAGGGTTGATTGGTTAAAGAATGCTGGAAAGACATGTCACAGTTCCAATGCTCCAGCTTTTATCTTTGTCCTTCCCCTCTTGTTAGTAGGGAAATTCTATTACAATTTGGAAAAAACAAAACTAAACCAAGTATCCAGCTACACATGTAACTTCTAACAACGTGGTCACTTACCAAAACCATTACAGTACTCAAACTCTTATTAAATTTAGGAACTCGGAATGCTGTTTTAAAGACATATCTGACATTTGCTTGTATAAAACCAAAATAGAGAAGATGGTATAAACAGAAAAGCAATGGAGCATAATAAAGTACATTGTGATTTCCACCACAAGGCAGTATTATCCATGTCTCCCCCATGAACACTGGTGACCAAAACCACCCCACAATCTAGTTTATAATAGATTTCTGTCCCGTATCACAGAATGCCAGTGTTACAGTGCTGCTCACTACTTGCTATGTACACAACTCCTTATCTCACAAACCCTTCTGATAAGGTTGCCAGCTCATTTATGTGTACCCACCACGAACGGCAGGAGGTGCAGTTGGTGCCTCCAGACTGGTTCACTGGGCAGCACACGAGTGCTGGCCAACAGCACGGCCAGAAAACAACTGTCCACTGAGCTGACGCTGTCACCCTTCCCTCAGCAAGAATGGTAACTTAACCTTGGTACTTTGCCTCAGCTGTCAGTTATCATCAGATCTGCAGAACATCTAGACCTTCAAAGCATCTGCTGAATTTGGCCAAAAGGTTCAAAAGTTGTGGGAAGCAGATTAAAATGGAAACAGACAGGCAGCGTGCTTGCCTGGGTCTCATTTCCACAGGCAAGAAGGCTGAAGATACACAGTTTGGGCCAGATTAAGGAACGGTAAGGAAACATTAAGAGAAACTTAAGCATTAAGAGAACTTGTACTTAATAGCTAACGTTTATGTGAATGCAATGATGAAAAGGCACAATGATGACATGAACTTCATAATGTGATAGAGAGGAAGAACAGGCACTGACAGCTAAAAACGAGAAAGGACAGAAAGAGACACAAGACAAGGGTCCACATTCATTTGGACTCTTGGCAGTTCATTTCCATAGTGACATTCAGATGCCTTTACACTCTTATCTTCTTGGTTTCATCGCTTACACATACTGTTTTCCCAGAGAAAACAATTTCTCTTGATTTTTCACTACGTGACCTATCTTAACTCAACTCTAGTTAAGAAATCTTTTATTACTCCTGAATTTCAGGTTCCTGGAATTTGAAAACCTGATTGGATCAGGTTAATGAAACTCTAGGCTCAGAAACTTAAGAAACAGGTCTTGCAATACATGCAATGTTTCAGAAAAAAAACCCATCTATATATTTACTCTAAAGGAAACCAAAGATTCATATGAGGTATTCAGCATTATTAATCTAGACACCATCCAGAATAAAAGGACAACTATCAATACCTTGGCCTGGTATGCTTACATCCCCTCAAATCAATAAAAACAGGTTATTGTCACAGATAATAAACCAGAATCTCAATCCTTGCAAACACAAATATGGGAGGGAGAAATTACACTAAGCACACTGAGA